ATTTCTCTGACTTTTCTCCCCAGGATGGCTAAAAACTTGGTCCTCTTAGTCTCAACTCTTAAATAGCTTGGATTATGGGTATGTGCCATCCTCCTCAGTGAGTGATTGAAAAGGGGTATCATGGTTTTTCTTGCTTTGCTTAGGCTGGCCTCAAAACTTGATCCTCCTAATTTCAGTTTCCCAAGTTACTAAAAATAACTAATTTCTCAAATCATTAAAAATAATTATCTTGAGATTATTTTTAATTCCTTTTCAGGATCTTTCAATTGTGTCATTCTAAAACTGGAAACCACTCCCTTCCTAGTGGTAGGAAAGTCCTGTGTCTGGTTGATAATGGAGGGCTAAATATGAGATTCAAATATTGCTTACATCTTTGGATAGACATAGCAAACTTATTTATAAAGATACTTTTGCTTTAATTGTGGGAAATCTGGGTGCTTATTTTTGTAGCTATAAGATCCTATCTGTTCTGGACCTGGGGCTTGAACTCAGGGCCTAAGCACTGATACTAGAGTTACAACTTTACTTCCAACTTTTTGGAGATAAGAGTCTCAAGGACTTTCCTGCCACAGCTGGCTTTGAAATATGATCCTCAGATTTCAGCTTTCTGAGTGGCTAGGATTACTGGTGTGAGCTTCTGGCATGTGGCCAGTGTTACCTTTTAAAAATTTCTCATTTTGAGAAATAATTGGTGTATGTGTATGTGTGTGTGTGTATATAGTACAAGTACAATATGTCATATGTCAAGGTGATCAAGATCTCAGTATAGTGGTGCATCCCAGTAATTCCAGCACTGAAGAGGAGGTAGTGATTAAGGTCAGCCTGGACTACATGGTGAGACTGTATCAAAAAAACAAACAGCCAGATACAGTGGCTCAAGCCTCTAATTCTAGCTACTTGAGAGGCAAAGATCAAATGATGGTGGTTCAAGGCCAGTCCAGGCAAAATAAGTTCTCAGACTTCCATCTCTACCTAAGTGCAGGGATATGGGATGAGCAGAAATGAGATTGCAGACTAAGCTGGTTTAGGAATAAATTTTGCAAGACTCTGTCTTGAAAATAACCATTGTGGGGCTGGGAAGGTGGCTCAGTGGTAGAGCACTTGTATTGCATGCATGAGGCCCTGGGTTCCATTCCTCAGCACCACACAAGCAAAAAGAAAAAAGCCGGAAGTGGCACTGTGGCTCAAGTGGTAGAGCGCTAGCCTTGAGCTGAAGAGCTGAGGGACAGCGCCCAGGCCCAGAGTTCAGGCCCCGTGACTGGACGCACCCCCCCCCCAAAAAAAAAAATAACCATTGTGAAAAGGCTGGCAGAGTGCCTCAAGTGGTAGAGCAATCTTGAAGCCCTGAGTTTAAACCACAGTACTGCTAACAAACAAAACCAACAAAAAAGCTGGGTGCTGGTAGGCTCACGCCTATAATCCTAGCTACTCAGGAGGCTGAGATCTGAGAGTCATGGTTCAAAGCCAGCCCAGGCCAGAAAGTCCTTTAGACTCTTATCTCCAATAAACTACTCAGGAAAAGCTGGAAGTAGCACTGTGGCTCAAGTGGTAGAGCACTAGTTTGAGCACAGAGAGGCTCAGGGACAGCACCCAGGCCCTGAGTTTAAGCCCCAGAACCAGCAAAACAAAACAAAAAAATAGATCAGGATGCTTTATATTGATCTTTGGCCATTAATATTTTCATTGTAAAGATTCTAAAGTTTTAAAGATAGTAAACATTACTTTTTAAAAATAATTTTTCTCTTTTAATTTACTTTTTGTTTATGTGGTACTAAGGAATTGAACCCAGGGCCTCACACATGCTAGGCAAGCGCAGTACTACTAAGCCACATTCCCAGCCTGTAAATTATATTAACGTACTGTGCTTTTGTGAACTGGTATAAACAACATAGTGGAAACAGGATTTGAAATTAGAAGACTTTAAGTACTTTGTCTGTGCTGGTATTTGGTTAATTTTTTTTTTTTTTTT